CCCACGAAGTGCAGGTCAGGTGTTAGCTTATCTAGAGAGGGGTCATGAAGGTTGCAACAATCTGGAAAGGCTGACTTCGTGGGCATGTGTGTTCTATACCTTGTTCCTGACAGCAGCATGAAAGAGTGAACCCGAAATTAAATTAAATTAAAATCTAGCAAAAATATAAGCTACTTGGGGGATGTTCTTCATCTCTGTTGAAGACTGTTGTCCCCCAGCTTGATTAAAGGGGCTCACGCGACCTTCCCCTTGCTCCCTGATGTCTTGGTAGGAATTTGTTTCTTTGTAACCCGGAGCTTCTAATTTGTGCAACAGAGGCTGGAAACACTTTCAGTTTTCTGGGTTAGAAGGAAAATTGCAGGTGGGTATGTTCTGCCTCCACATGAGGGGCAGGGCTGAGCATGTCTCCCCGCACCCCCCACCCAGCAAGGCCTGTCCCTTCTCTTTGGTGTCCACGGAAGCTGGGAGACTGCCCAAGGTCTGAGCATAAAGCAGATATTATTGTATCTGGAGAAAATTTCCAAAAATAGAGGGCCCTTAGGTTGTTGAATTTTTAGGCATTTAAATCCTGCTGCATCCTCCTGACCTTTAGCGCAACCCCACCAGTGAGCCCTGTTTAGGCTGGTTATTTACACCTGGGGCTGGGCCCGGTGCACAGGGACAGACCCGTGACCCGGGACTTCGGAGGTGGGCTCCGTTAGGGTCAGGCCTGGAGCTGCGGCTGTGATTTCTAAAGGGGCAACACGAAATCCAGGTGTAAAGGGCCAGGCCGATAAGGAGGGGCCTCAAGAAAAGTCACCCAGCGCCTCCGGCAGGGCCCACCTCTGGTTGGAGCGGTTGGTCGGCAGGATCCCACCCTTTCCAGACCCCTTTACAAGACAAGTGCCCCCGGGTCAGGAAGGAGGTCAGCAGATCAAAGGGCAGCGCTAACAACGTGATACCTTTAGTCCTGGGGCTCTGCTGGTGGGGGGAGGGGACACCTGTGCAGATCCGCCCCTCCTCCTCCCTACCCCCACCCCCAAGTTTGCCTTCCGGTGACCCCAGCCCCCCCTACTCTCCGCCAACCCCCTACACTCCCCTCCCCCCACGCCTGCCCCTGTTTGACTCCAGGACTGGTGGAGGCTCTGGGCACCACGGAGCGTCTCCCCAGACTGGTGGTGAAGGGGGGGGCGCACAGGGACCACCGAGAAAGTCTTGCTGCACCCACTGCCCAGTGCCCTTCCAGGTGGTCTTCAGATTAATTATTCTACTGTACCTGCCCCACTTCACGTGGAAGAAAGCAATATATATATGATAAGGAATGATGCCTGCCTCCCAGCCTCTGAATGTGTGAATATACAGATTTTATTCCCAACCTCATAGGTATATAATTCCAGACATTAATAGACGTGGATTACAAACAGCTTTTTCTTTTGCAGTTGTTGGTATAAACCACCAATTCTCCTTTCTACGTAGTGGGAGAAGGGCGACTGCAGGCAGTATTCAGTATCTTGAAGGGAGACCGTGTGGAGAGAGGAAAGGGGTGGTGTGCCAGGCAGGGAAGGGGCCAAGATGGGGGACAGCTGATGAAGGGTGCTTGCTCAGGAAATCAAGGGTTCCCCCCAATCGTCCCAGGGCTGTGGGAGAGGGGAGTCACCTGGAGACTGGGTTTGGGAGTATTGCTGGGACCAGACTTTGATCTCTCCTTACGGCCCTCCAACAGACGCAAGCCCCACTCCTGTCTGCCCAAAACCTTCTTCAAAGCCAGCTGGGCTGGACCAATACAGATGCTGGAGACAGGAAGAGCCCCAGCGCGCTCAGCGTCACACCTCATAAACCGCACAAAGCCCCCAAACTTCCAAGACCTCGCCCTCTTTCTCTGTCTCTCTCTTTCCATACAACTTCACATAAAACCTCCAATCTGTATTAACTTTTTCTTAACATCAACAGAATATATGATAATTTTAAAGCCCTTTGGCCCCATAGAGTGCATTTGGTCTAACCTCGACTTTTCTAAACAAAGAAACAGAAATCCATAAAAATAAAAATAAAAACCCGCATCCAGAGTCTCACTGCAGTTACAGGGGTGGCTGCGACCGGGACCCACCATGGGCTTAGTGCTTCTTTGATGTCTCACTGGGCGCCCCCACGGGTGGTGTGGCCTCGGGGGTAAAACCAGGTGAACCTTTGCCTGCCAGACCCCCACATACCTGTCCAGTCTGTGCTTCCAGGAAGTGCTCTCAGCTGGTCTCAGGGTGAGGACTCGCACGTCCCGCCACGGATTTTGAGGGGTTTAGGAGCAATGGGTGCTGTGGAACAAAGAGGGGGTGAAATAAATTCCTCTCGGAGCTCTAAAACACAGCATGATTTTGTTGAGGAACATGGGGAGATTTGTTGCATATAGACTGCACACCCGTCCCCAACTAAAATAGCCCTGGCGGTGGGTATTTCAGGGAGAAGAGAGGGCAGCGGGCTCTCCAAGAGCAGTTTTGGGGAGTTTCATTCGCTACCTTCCCCCAGCCTCCTAAATCACTGCCCTCCATCCCAGGAGTCCTGCCCCAGCAGATGGAGGAGTGAGGTAGGGAAAGGCAGTCAGCCTTAGAGCAAACCCCTGTCGGAGGTGGGGGCCAAGACTCTCCCGGGGAGGCAGAGTGACAGCCAAGATGTCATTACTGTCCCTCACAGGGCGAAGGGTTTCCTGCCCAGAACAGGTGGCTAAGAATCTCAGGTCTCCATCAACCCTCCGTCCCCAAAGGGAACAGACAGGCATAGAGAAACAGGGCTAGGGAACCCTGGGGCACTGAGGGCAGCCGGTGACAGCTGCGTGGCCCCCTGCATCACACTTGGTCCCAATCCAAACTACGAGCCTTAACGGTTTGCTGGGGACAAGAGTCTCAACCCCTTTGAACCTCTACTCTCCGAAAGGGAGAGGATAAAATCCTTCTTCTAGTTGTCACAGTGACGATTAAAGAAGAGACTTCTAGAAAGCTCATGGCATATAGCCGTGTTCAGGAAGAGTAAGTGCTCTTCTCTCTCTGCTTAAAGGCAGGACTGCATTATCACCACCCCAAAGAGACAGCATCTAAACACCAAACACCATGTAAATGCTGTCATTTCTATTTACAACATTGGTTTTTGCAAAGCCATATCATATTTACTCCCAGTGCTGTCCCTTATCCATTTCTATCCTCCTGATTTCCAACTAGTACTGTGTGTCTCGGAACTATCCTGTTTTAATGAAAAAGAAAGTCGGCTCTTGACAACAAAATCACCACAATCAACTCTTGCCAAGGCAAAAAGCCTTTTGAAGGGAAACTAAGCTATCCCTATACTTACCTTTAAAAAAAAAAAAATCCCTCTTGTAGCAACCTGATCTGCTAATTTTAGAGTTTACCTGCCCTCATTTTTCCTTCCTCCTCTGTCCCTCCCCCAGCCCCTACCCTGTCCTTTACCTACCTCTTACCTGCTTAGGAAGCTGGCTGCAAGAACCGAAACCCCCTCCTGCATTCTTTCCCCTGTTGGGGCCAGATAACTAGGTCTAATGGAGCTATTGACAAAGCCTCGTGCTGGTGGCCGCTTGACTCCCCGACCTGCATGTTGATTCTTTCCGCTTCAGAAAAGCCCTTGGAAGTGCTTTTACTGTAAATATTTGAAGTGTGTGTATGGGGGACGGAGGGGGTGGGTGTGAAGTCTGGATTCTTCACTCCACTACCTTGCTCAGCCAGGGGAAGCCCTTTCGCCCGAGTTCCTAAGCTGCAGGTAGGAAGAGGAGAGAGGCTGCGTTTTCCTGCCCGGGGACTAACCAGGGTCAGAGTGAGTGGCCTCGGGAGGACTACCGGCTCCCGCAGGCTTTCCAGAACCGAGGTGGGTGCCGTCTCTTCACGCTCATGGGTATCCTTCCGCAGAGAGGAAGAGCTCCGTCACCGAGGATCCTCTCACTGGCAGGTGGGCAACGTCTCCAAGCCGACCCGGGTCCTGCAGGCCGCGGGGCTCACAGACTCTGCCCTCTCCGCCTAGACGGGGCAGAGGCTCAAGGCGAGGACTTGTGGAAGGCCAACTCTCGCTCACACACACACGCAACACCTGAAACGCACAGGACTTCCCAGAGATGAGAAGGTTCGACCTGCAGAGGGTTGATGACAGGGACACAAAGTGCTCCCGTGCACCCTGGAGACCCAAGAACAGGGCTTGGGGACCGGTTTGATCTTCGTTGTGCTACCGTCATTGAGCAAAGCAGCTAGATCTGCAAGCAACGTGGGCTCCCCGACGCAGAAGTGCACAAAACTCAAGTGCTGGCGAGGAGGCGCGAGGAGACGCACGCCGCTGGCTCTAGGGGACGCCGAGCCCAGAGCCGGACAGCCTGTCTCCGGAGCTGGCCTCAGACCGCGGGGACCACAGCGGGACCCAGGGGCGCCAGCGCCCGCAGTCCCACTCAGCACTCGCAGCAGGGCGAGCAGGGTCCCTAGGTTGAGCCTCCGAGTCGGGCAACTCTGGTCGCGGTCTCCGCCCCGCCATCGCGGCTCAGCACCCCGGTTGTTTAGGACCCCGCGGCGCAGGGGCGGGGCGGCGGGCGGCCCGGACGGTGACAGGTGCGCCCCTCCGCCAATGGCCTGGCCCGCGCCCCTCCCCGAGCCCCCGCCGAGCGCGCCAATCGGCGGCCGCGCTGCGCTTCAAGTGCGCGGAGGGGCGCGGGTCCCCACTACGGCGCCGGCGGCCTCGGCGCGGTCGCCCGAGGGTCCAGCGCATAGAGCCGGGCTCCCCGGCCCGGCGCGTCCAGGCACTCGCGTGCGAGTTTGTGCGAGCGCGTGCGAGCGCGGCTCGGGGCGGGGTCCGCACGGAGGAGGCGCCCGGACCATGGTCACCCTCGGCTGAGTTTCCGGCGGCGACTTTGATTATTGGCAAATAATCACCATAACAATACCGAACCCTGGGGCTTGCCACCGCCACGCACAGACTCCGCGAGCCGGCACGCGGCCGCGTCACCCACCACCCGGCCCTGCTCGCCAGCCCCAAACGAGCCGATGGAAAAATCCAAAAATTTCCGCATCGATGCGCTGCTGGCCGTGGACCCCCCGCGAGCGGCCTCGGCGCAGACCGCGCCGCTGGCCCTGGTCACGTCGCTCGCGGCCGCCGCGTCCGGCCCCGGCGGCGGCGGCGGCGGCGGCGGCGGCGGAGCAAGC